TTGGATAAAGACATTGACGTAAATTAATGTCTACCAATTTGGCTAGCAGCTAGCTCTCGCTACAAATGTTGCCCATGACTGATATTCTATCTTTTAATTGTAAAGCTTGGTGAGAACTAATCGAAAATACGTATTTGCTTACTTAAATGGTGCTCTACAATTTTAAAAGTGCAGAAAGTGCCATACAAGACAAAGTTATACTTTCGAGTAAAAAGAACAACGAAAACCAAAGTCAATATTTTTTAAACTTACAGTTAGAATTTTATTTGTTTATTTACAGAAAACTATATGGATTGCCTTCATAACCATAGTGAAACAAGCCCAAGATTATAGACAGAGTAGGGCTCCTGTATTGCAGTTAATATTACCAAGGTATAGGTATCTAAAATCTATTACTAACTTACTATTTCGATAGGTCATATAACTGATTAAGCCTGTCTGATAATTAATGCTAGAGTTCGATTCCTGACCGATGCCTTTCTACCTAAACATCGCCTAACCGGTAGTAAGCCTGGTTGGTAACGAAGGATGGATGTTGAGTGTGTGAGGCTAGTAACCTCAACCCGTAAAACATCCGTTACTGATACTGAAACGTCAAAGCTCAAGCTTGACGCCCTACGTCCCAACTGAAACTCACAGAAATAAAATTTGAAAGACAAAAAAAACTAATACTACATGACACTGACCATACGAACCAATTCATATTGTTTTGATAACTAAACGAAGCATAAAAACATGGAGAAGAATTGGACATATGCTGGGTGTTAAATCACACGCCAGGCCATTGCTTGACTGAAACCCCAATGGGAAACAACGACTTGGGCGCCGCTTCAAGGGTAGCATGGAGGAGATCACGTGTGAAAAGGAGACAAAAGCTTATAGGGTCAGTTAAGAAAGGCTCCATAGGACAGAGTGAGACAGAGATCTGCTGATGAAGCCCTATGTTCCACTTGGAATCCAAGAGAACTGTAGTACAGATACATTATCCTGCAAATCCAAAAAGTACTTATACAAACTACTACAGTTGCTGCAGAATTGAAACACCCAGCCCATAACTTTAGGCCATGAACAAGAACCTAACCTACTACCAAGTACAGAACGCTGTTATTTCTAACAGCTAAGTTAATAGAGGCTTTCCTCACTCTCTTTGCTACTGACACAAGCACTTATTGTTTTCTCTTCATCAAATTCAACGTAAAAGTAGTTTGATGACTACTGATATGAAATAAGAATTTCTAGATAGCATAATTCCTTGTGTATGGATTTGGAAACGCCAATTTCTAATAAACTTAAATATATCGAAAACATACACTTCTAGGAGTTCCTGATGATACCTGGAGTCTAACTTCAACGACATATCAGGCTATGTTAGTCAGAACGAGCCTACTAACAGGTCACTGTCGGTAATCCACCGAGGATGAACTAAGTGTGACCAAACTACTATATTATCATGGAATATTAGATTCCCATATCACATGATTCGGAAACTTCTCTGTAGAAAGAATTATAATCCTAGATATGCATATACTGAGATCAATCACAAACTGACTTCACTCAGAGAGCCATTGGAAACCAGCTGTCTCATCCTTGTTTGTGACTCTTTGTCAGTACGCTCCCGTGACCTTCCCCAGGGAACGAATAAAGACGTTTCGTCTATCAAAGGAACATCTCCCCACTACTTACTGGTTTCCAATAGTTCTCTAACTGAAGTCAATTCGTCACCAACCTAGAAATCAATCAAATCCCTTCAAGTCGAAACTCGAAAGTTTTATACACTGTCTGGTCAGTTGCATCTCTTTTTGTCTCATATACCCGCAGTCACATATGTTACGATGTTTCACAAATGCTGTCAGGATGAACAAGCTTCTTTGTTAGTCATGAAATCGTCATTTATGCACATACCGATATGATAATCTTATTGGACAGATTCGATTCGTTTATTTATGGCTTAATTTTCCGAGGGATATCGATGTCATATAGCCAATCATGTTTTATTTATCGCTTAAATTTTTGAGAGTTTGGTAAATATAACATACCACGTATAATATATGTGTAAACCTTGGGCACTGTGGTAGTATGTAACTCCTTATTAGTTTGTTGATTAGATATATCACACAGTGAAACAGTATCATTTACTGGATGACGTTTCCAACAAAATTTATTGTTCATAATCATACCAATTATAATCACACGACCTCGAAACTTGAGTTTTACAGTTTCCTTCGTTCTCTCCGATTTGTCGTCGTTGGGATAGTAGAATTTTCCAGAAGTCCAAGTGGACAGGTGTTGAATTATTCCTACTGCACGTGCTTGCAGTTGATTCGATAAACAAAGCCCCCGATGTGTTCAATCTCTTCCCCCACCCTCTTACATTAGATTTTAAAACTGTCATTTTTTCCCATCCTATTGTGTGGTTGCATGAGTGTGTGTGTGTGTGTATGTAATTGCATGCAGTGCTATACCTCAACTATTCTCTAAATTTCTTATCTTATTCGGGTCAACAGGGGCAATCAGACTAGCCGAACACAAAAGTCTAGCAAAATCTAGACTAGTTGACCCAACACTAAGGTATAAAATCTGGAGAATAGTTTAGCTGTAGCACTAAATGAAATCACACACAACCACACAATAGGTTGGGATAAGACGATAGTTGTAGGATCTAAATATAATAATGTGGAGGGGGAGATTAGTAAAGGAAGCTTTATTTATCCAATCAACTGCAAGCACATGTAATAGGAATGATTCAACACCCTTCCATCCAGACATCTGGAAAATTCTACTACCTCTACGACGAATAGGAAGGAATAAAGAAAACTATAAGACGGAAGTCTCGAAGTTGTGTAGTTCTAACTGATGATATGATTATGAACAATAATAAATTGTGTTCGAAGTTTTGTCATCCAGTAAACAATAATACCGTTTCACTGCGTAATAAATCTAATAAACAAATTAATATGGAATAACATACCATGTAGTTTGTCTAACAAAGTTGGTAGTTGAGTAGTCTAGAACAACAAACAAGGTTGAAATCGTTAATCAGTCAGACCAACTTCTATACCAGGTATGTCGATGACACCTTCGTTCTTTGTGATTCTTTTAATGATGCATCTCAAGTATTAAAAGTCTTGAACAGCGCCCATCCTAATATTAAGTTTACAATGGAGTATGAAAAAGAGAAGTTCCATTTTCTTGACCTGGGTATCCAACAAGATATAGACGTCAAAATCATAAGATATATACACAGAAAAGAGACCTGGAGGGCGGCTTATCTTAACTTCAAAAGGTTCTGCCCTATAAGTTACAAAAAGGGATTGGTGAGAACATTATCTGATCGTGTAAGGAAACTGTGTTCAAAAGAAAAGATTGAGGAAGAGCTATCCATTGTGGAGAAATGCCTACGCAACAACGGTTACCCACAAAAGTTCATCGACAAGTATGGGAGACGTCATGTTGAAAAAGTGAAAAGCAGCACAGTAGAAAAAGCCTATTTTTCTGCAGCTTGCATTCAAAGGTGATGATACTGCTAGTAGAATAAGATGCAGACTGAATGTTGCCCTGAAAAGAACATATCCAATCGCCAAGCTTGTATGTGTTTATCAAACAACTAGTTGTTTAAGACAATCAAAAGTGGACAAATAGCCAACTCATGTTACCTCCAACTGTGTCTACCAATTTACATGTACGTGCCAAAGCACATACACTGGAGGAACAGAGTGAAGGGTTATTGTCCGCATTTATGAACACATACCAAAGAACCTGAGACTGAAAGGTCCGCAATCATTAAACAGTGCGATTGCTCGTCATCTATTGGACACTAGTCATATTGTAGACAACATATAGTCGTTCAAAATAATCAACAAGCAAAAGGAACCTAGCTTGCTACGCTTTGCTGAAGCAATTGCCATCAGACGACTTAAACCAAATCTATGTACGCAGAAAGAGACAGTGGTGAATCTTGTACTGCCCTGGTGATAACAAAAAATATACGTCTTTTTTGTTTCCTTCACGTTCCCCAGTGGAACATAGGGCTTCAAGCTAGTGCCTTGGAGTTTCTGTAGGGGTGTGTAATTTTACAGGATGGGGTTGCTAGCCCCATGCCCAACCTTTCCTCTTTACCAGGTTTATTTCTGGCTTAGCAAGGTAAAGGAGTGCGTCAGCCGGGGATCGAACCCCGGACCATGTGCATGGTCGGCGAGCGTCCTAACCGCTATGCCACTGACGCATAACTTTTATGAGTCACCCTTTTTCATGTTTAGAAAACTCTACTCTCTCATCTAAACATGACTCACCTTACCTTGTTCTTTACTTTCCTTTTTTCTATTGACTATTAGATAAAACATTTTCTTTAGTTACGTAATCTACTTTTTTGTTATGCTCTTTCTAGCTAGACCTTGCTTCTATACACACACACACATACATACGCAACCCTGTTCTTTTGTTTCCAAGCCTAATTATCTAATTATTCTATAAATAGTCACTGTTTGTAACTCTTAATCAGTTAAATCATTCCGAACTAATCTTACTTTTACTTTCTAACAATTACTCCTTGTGATCGTGGAAAAGTATGTTCAAATCTTTAATGTAATTCATATTTTTTATCGTTCAAGTTGTAACCAGTTGAGGAGAATCCTCGAAATAATAAGAGATGAGCTCATATCATTCTGGTACAAATGTTGTTCTTGCTTTATTCAAGTCTATTAATGGGAAGAATTGCATGAACTTTTTAAAGTTGGATGTCGTTTTTCCTGATCAGACCTCTTTGTCAGTCTCAATATGGCAGATATCTGTCAAGTGACCAATTGGTTGTAGAGTCATGTTCTAGAGGCACATCCTAGTCAAGTTAGACGATCTCACAGTTCGGTACCATTCCATGCTTGGGTTACGATGTCATCCACATTCACATTAACTAAATACAAAAAGAAATAACATCGATTGTTTCTCTCCAATAATTCTCTCCTACCTTTCATCTATGAATGAAATAAAAACCAACAATCGTAAAATATTACACAAAATTCTTTTATTTTGTACAGACTTTGGAATACATATCACCAATCAAAACAAAAGAATGTATGTACAAACAACTGTTTCCGTGTATACCGTCATTAATGTTACGAAGGATAGTAGAGTAACACCAAGAGAACACCTCTTAGGAAAGATAAATCTTCACTTATCACTTCACTACTCTCTAGTACCTTTCCTATGGTTACGTACATATATATATACAATATTGATTGTCCCGTAGATTGTCGGCCACGTCAAATAACTGTACACAATATCCCTAAGGGGAAAACGAAACACATATTACTTGAAAATTTTACACAAACGAAAAGTAACATATAATTTGTTTTAGTTGAATCCGTTGTTTGTATTCTATCTCCCATCTCAATTAGTATAAACGTAAAGTGTTAGGTAAGAAGGGTAAATCATTCGAAGAGGCTGTGAAGTTATATATCGATTAAGATGGCTAAGGCATGTGTTGAGCATACCAAGACATCGCCTTCCCCTACAGTTGAAATAACAATAGATTGGAAGAGAGTTACTGGTGGTCAAACCAAAACATCGTATCAATCCATACAGTCATTGACATTTGATTTGGGTGATATAATGAGGTTACTTCCTCAGGATGCCAAGAACTAATGGTTGTTGGAGACTGTTGGTAATATTGACTCAAAACTGTTCTCAGTAGCACAGATGCATTCAGTCTATACGATTTCCCATATTCACTGAACTCTCATGTTTTGCCATGTTCCTACTTTTTCTCCCCGACATTTCTGCTCATTATTATTATTGTTATTATTAATTATTAGTCCTTTGAGTTCCAAATGGAACAGTGAGCTGGAAGTTAGGGCTTCTGCCCATTATAGTTATTTACATTAAAACTCAGTGAAGTCTATCAGGAATTTGAGCCGCCCAACCCCGCCACACGTGGATCGGTGACACAGCGGTTGGGATGCTCGCCGACCATGCACATGGTCCAGGGTTCGACCCCCGGCCGACGCACTCCTTTACCTCGCTAAGCCAGAAATAAACCTGGTAAAGAGGAAAGGTTGGGCATGAGGCTAGCAACCCCATCCTGTAAAATAAACACTCCTACAGAAACTTCAAGGCACCAGCTTGAAGCCCTATGTTCCACTGGGGAACGTGAAGGAAAAAACCCCGCCACACACACAGGTTTTGATTGACCGACATATCTGTTAGAAAAAAGTACCAATTATCACGAATATGTTTCAGTTTCAAAACATATAACAGACAAAGAACGACGTACGTACACAACGATGCATGGCGTACCCTTTGTTGACTAAACAAAGAAGCAAAGGATTCAATGTGGTAATGTATCAGTTGAAACCTTCGGACTTTAGCCTCCCTCCCCCCAAGTTATCTTCAAGACTATATGACTTGCAAGTAAGGGGTGGGGCGTGGTAATGTTAAAATATGAGATGCTAAATCAAAAGGTAAAAATAACTTTGAGGAATTTTCTAAACCGTCCACCAGTATGTTATCAATTATGAGTAGTTTAAGCATCGATGTTGGTTATACTCTCAGTACAGACATTCCTATAACAAAATTCATAATCACATCGCACAAAACGCTAAGGAAAATTATCCTGTGTGGAGGAGTTACAAATGCGATACACGTATTTTAAGTGCTTACAATCGTATCCAGTTATTTAAGGACACTAGGCTTAAGGCTATACAACAACAGTTTAACACTACGAAAGTGGAGATAAAAGCAGTTAATTCATTAAATATGTAGTCAAATTATGACATGTTTACAATTAACTATATTTGTACGCTCTTAAAGAGTAATATAGCAAATGCCCACCCACCACACTGTGTACAACGCAAACCAATAATAGACAGTGATATTGGTTAGAGGATTTCATAATGAGCTGACATCTGTTAGACAGCCAATGGGAAACCAACAGGGAGTACTGATCAGCTACCTCGTCCTAGTTTGGGACTCTTCAGAAGTACGCACCAGTCGCTAAGGTTCGAACCCAGTACCTTCTGGTTACAAGGAAAACTTGTAGATCATTAAGCCACTGAGACCCAATCCAATGGCCAGCTGATGAATTCCAACTTCTGTCAATTCACTACATAGCACGACCGCTAGCCAATGTCTTCGGTGAGTATTTATTCTCACATCCGACCCGCCGCACCCTACTGGCCACGACTTCCTACTAGAACCTACTTGAATAGGGCCAGTCGCTAGTGAGCATCTCATTGATATTCAAGTATTGGTATGTGCATACTGATCAAGAGTCCCGAACTAGAGGGGCGAAACAGTTGTCCAGTACAGCCAGGTTTCCCAATGGTTCTCTAAACGATATCAGCCCATGATGAAATCCTGCAACCAATCAACCAAATCTCTACAAACCAATACTTGAAGACAGTGATATTTTTGAATTAATATTGTTGTCATTGCTATGATCAGTTTCAGGACAATTCAGATGACACGCACCCCGTCCCCTCCTCTAAAAATTAGCCAATGGTTAACTACCTATAATGACGCATGATGATGTCAATTCATAACCCCCCTCTAGTGCAAATGACATACTTTACATCGATCTTTATCTAAAACTTGAGTACACAACCCCAAAGATCATTTTCACTTAGTGCTGGCTTTATTATTATGCACAGAGAAGTTTCTCATATACGGGAAAGTTCGCAAGGTTACAGTCTCTACGCAAATTATCGAATAATAATAATAATAATAATAATCTACTTTATTCCATAAACAGCACTATTGATTTTTTTTTTTAAATTTTTATTCCTTCACATTCCCAGTGGAACATATGGCTTTAAGCTAGATGCTTGAAATTTCTGTAGCAATGGTTATTATTTTTACAGGATGGGGTTGCTGGCCTCATGCCCAACCTTCCCTCTTTACTAGTCTTACTACTGGCTTAAACAGGTAAAGGAATGCGTCAGCCAGGGATCGAACCCGGGACCACCTGTGTGGTGGGTGAGCACTCTGCCGCTGTGCCACCGACACACCAATACTTATAATACCGAAGGGAATTGTCAGCATTTGTCCCATCTATTGCATCTAATTTACTCAAAATATAAAGAAAAGTAACCACAAGAATTTGTCCACATTTACGGTAGGAATTAAGTCAAAAATGTGAAAAGTATAAAGTGAGAATAATAATTCTAATAGTAATAATAGCATTAGGTTTGTTTCAAACAGTATTGTCGATTCAGTTTGGACGTTTTAGCATGTTATAGAGTATTAAATCGAAAGTCCTCTTGATACAGTATGATGGTGAAGGGGAAAAAAATAAACAACAATTATTACACAGCTTAAATGATGTTTACACCTATGAGAAAATAAACAAAAAGTGGGAGGATTATAAATACACGAAGAACACTAACAATAAAACTTGGTGGAATAAAGATGAAGAGAATTGTTTATTAACTAGTGGAAAGAAGGTTAGTTAATTAGTTCGTCCGTGACACTATTTTCATCAAATAAAGTATTTGTCAAATAGGGTATAGTGGAATTTTTATACTTAGACGTACGTGCATAAAGTCTTCTGAAAAGACTCCTGGTTTTACCTAAGGAGACACAAGATTGGGGCTGCAGGTAAAGTGGATGCTCACGGTCTGACAAAATTCCTTTAGCAAATTTGTTGCATGAAATCAAGTGTGTATTATCAATGACGATGTCAACGATATAGCCCAACGGGATACTACTCGCCCTACTGACAGTCTTCAAAGTTCTACGAAGTATATGACATAGTCGATTTTAAGCAACCCAAGAAAGGATAAGGGTGAACATTAAAGAAGAATAGGTAAGATGCACGAGTTGACAAACTGTAAAAGGGGGGAGGGATTGAATTATGCCTGAGTCCCTTAACTTCTTAATGTAAAAAGTCAGACGAAATATTCTTTTAGAAATTGCTAAGACATAGGAAGACCAGGATAGGTCAAAAGAAAGAATTAATCCAAGATGCTTAACTTCAGACTTCATTTCTATATTACTATGATCAATTTTGCAACGATTACAGGAACTAACAGCCTCATTCAACTTTCGTTTACATCGGAAGCTCAAAATAAACGGTCTGACATTTGGAAGGAAGGACCATTAGACGAAGATCATTTGCTAACTCCTGATAGAAAGCTGTTCATCTTAATGCACAGTCTAACTGGAAGTTAACCAACTATCTTTTTACTTCGAACAGAATAAAATTGCAAGCGACTTACTTGGCGAACCATAAATTCAGAAATGCATGTTTTCAATTCTCCTCACAAGTTGGAGTATATCCATCCTTCTGTTTTAATTTTGTACGATGAAACACAATTCTAGTTTGTAATGTTTTAAAAGAAAGAGAAACAGTAAATCATAGAGAGTCGAATCTTTTCAGTTTACAAAACTGTACTACCACGTACAACATATGCCGTCGTATTCCAAATCATTTAGCTACTATAATCATCTTAGCTACTTGCGTGACATAAATACACTGGTGAAGTGTCAATAAGACAATCTTTCGAATTTCGAAATCCATCGTAAGATTCAAAAACAGTGAAGCCATAAAATTACATAAAGTATAATTTGATCATAATACAAAGAAGGCTGTTAGAGCACAATTAACCTAGAAAAGATGTTTCATAGTACCAGGCTGTAAGCCACAATATATGCGTCACAGTTGATGATGCTGTTCAGTTACTTAGGCTAATGGTGGAGCATGATTCGAATCTGGGATCAATTGGCTGAAAGACAAGTACCTAAGCCAATGTGACACATCTCTGCATACAAAAATAGGCGTACAGACAATCGTACGTATAGCAAACCATCAAACCACCTGTTACCTTTTGATGAATACATTTTACAACATCTCTTTGGAAGAAGCTTGTTCCCACAACCGACCTAGAAGGACTAAGGGTTGACCGAATTCGATCCTACTCTCAAAGGCCTCCCATATGTGACCACGCGTTCATAGCCTCTGCCAGGTACCACCTGTTTACTGCCTTCAGAGAGGTTTCGCGTGCGTTTCGGATTATGACGGCGAGTGTTACTTCCCGGCTGCCCACACCGTGGAAGTTGGTTGTGTGACCGCAGAGCCCAGGAGACAACTGCTTGGGGCCGGTCACACGCGGCCTGATTTTGTTTGTTTTTTGTTGTTTTGTGTGCCTCAGTAGCATATTTATCACTCCTGCCCTGTGACACGGCAGCAGGAAGCGCGGTCGTTAATCCGGGCCCCGGCCGATCCGGCTTGATAGTTTGTGAGTTTGTATGTATCATAGTGTTGGATTGGGTAGCTGCTTTTTGTCTAACAGCTATCCAAACAACCTTCCTGGCATGGTAGGACCTCAAGAGACATAAGTCTCAGCCAGTATAGCTTGATTAGGTCATTGTGGTGTTCAAGCCCGACCACCACGTCAAGGTAGCAGCTTTCGGTCGGGTGTCAGTCTATACACTGGAATATTCAGCCTTAAAAACGAGGGAAACTGTTCTCCGGGGTTTAAATTACTTTGATCCCATTAGTAAGCAATACCAAAGGCGATGTGATTGCTTTCCAACTACTCTTAGGCAATAAGTAGTACACAAGCCACTATAGTAAATTCTGCTTGCAATGATAATTGTTGTTTATGGTATGGCCGTAATAGCTTCGGTTTCCAAAGAAATTGACGGTAAGTTGTCACCTCCAACGATACACAGTTTGCAAATGACGAACTCGATGATATGAGTTGTATTTCAGTTGGAAACAAAGCAAGGAAATCGATTACCGCAAAAAGAATTATCAACGGACATTAACAGAAGACCACTATTTACTTACCTTTTAGTATTATTGACACCATCATCGTGTACTTTCTTTTGCTTTGGTGGTGGTGGTAAGCTAGGCCCTTGTTCAGGACCTAAGGAATGAGCTAGGCGTTTCAATTCACCAACAGATATAGGCGTTGATGATCCTGAAGCCGGTAAAGATGCTTTAGGATTTTTAGTATGAATATTCCGCATACGAATTGTATCATTCAAAATACGTGGTACAAATGAACTGACTGAATACTGCACCACTTGTTGACTTGTTTCTGAGGTCACTGCAGTCGGTAAGGGTTTGTCGGCCTTTGAAGTAGTCTCTAGATATGGTCGACAGCTTAAGGCTTGTAGAACAGGAAGAGGTATAGGTCGTCTAGAATAGAAAGAGTAAGGAAAATGATATGGAGAAAAAGGCTTCATATTTCAGTAGGATGAGGCAAGTTGTGTTTGATTTTTGGCAGTTTTAGCCTGACTTATTCTGATGAACTTACTTCACAGTTTATCAATACATACCGACAAATAAAAGACGTAGCGACATGCGCCACTGTATACTTTTCTGTAACCACTTCTTGACTGTGTGTCAGTGACAAGTATTTGAGAAATTTGAATAGTCAGTTTTATCACTCAAACTTCAAAAATTGGGGGTAATCGAGTGACAGTCCCTAGTTGGGTGTTATTTGAACCAGGACTTAAGTAAAAGAGTCTAGCATTATCTGCAAACTAACTTCCTACTTGAATACTTATTGTTACTATTCGTTCTTTGCGTTCCTAGTGTAACATAGAGCCTTCAACAGTTTCTTTTTTGGAAGTATGTGGGCGGTTGTTACTTCCAAGATTCCCACACCGTGGAAGTTGCTTGATTCTTCGGGTACCTGAAACCGAGAGAGGGTTAGCGTTGCGTGACCACAGAGCCCATGGGATAACTGCTTGAGGCCGGTCACACACGGCCTGTATGAACTGGTTTCTTGGTTTGTTTCTGTATTAGTAAACTTAGTCGGAATGCACAATTTTCAGGGTCGACCTTTTCTAATCCCCTCTCTCCAGAGTGAAGAGATAGCATAGCTGGCATGCTGGTCATCTGAGGGAAATACCTCACTGCTGTTACACCCCTGTTCCCCAACAGTACGACTTCGCCCATAGACCCCTAGCATAGTGTAGGAAAGAAGAATTCTTACACAATGCCGGTAACTGCTTTTAGTCTAATCGCTATCCTAACAACCTTCCTGGCATGGTAGGACCTGCAGGAACAACGGCTCCAGCCAGTGTAGCTTGTTGGGTCATCGCGATGTGCAATCCCGACCACCACGTCAAGATAGCAGCTATCAGTCGGGCCTTCATCAGTACATCTCCACTGTACTCCATTTTCTGCCGGCAATTTTCATCCGGCTCAATAACAGTCCATAAGTATTCATTTCATCTGCATACGATCTCCTACAACGTCCAACTCATCAACCGCTTCGCATTTGGCTTTCAGTCTACGGCCTCGAGTCTGATGCCAGATAAAAGTCACCTGCGTCAATCTCCGTCTCCGTTTCTTCCTGAATATTTATTCGGTTATAGGTTCTTGATTGGTTCGCTGCCAAAGCTCCTTCCTTGTCGCTTGCCCATACTTTACTACCAGACATCCCATCCTTCAATATCGAGCGAAAACAGTCATCATGAAAGTCTGCAAAAGCCTGTTGGAAATGTTTTTGGTAATGCATATACCAAGTCTCTGGACCATAATAAAAGCACTCACTAGACATCAGTAATGAAATTCTTAATCATGTTCCTTGTGTTAAAATGCCGTAGACCTCCATACTGATTTCACAAGCCTTGCTTTCCTAATCCTGACTGGCCTTGACACCATCATCCGTGTTGTCGCCTGTAGTTGAAACGACTTCCTTAAGATTCCTGCCAGTGACGGTAACCAATGCCCACTGTTATTGTTAGTTAGGAATTTTCATCACCCTTTCCTACACAGGTGAATAATGGTTTGGTGAAATATTACAATTCATCCACTAACAGCTTCCCCACCCCACCCCAACCTGCATAACCTTACTTAAACTCATATGTTTGACTAGTGAAGGGGGTTATTCGCAATAAGTAGTCAAATCTGCAGTTATTTTAGTCGATAATAGTTAACAAGGGTATTAAACTGACCTGCTACCCTTATCTAATAACCTACACACCTAATCATCATACTATTCCCCACAAGGACATCACAACCCAATGATGTTACGAAGAAATCTAGAGTCAAAAACCTTAAGATCTGTGATACCGTCTTACCTACGAGAGAATGATCTTACTACAGTGAGGATGAGACAGCCGAGAAAACACTCACCCATTTTACTAACTCTGAAGACTTAACAAGTCAGTAGGCTTGGAAAAGATTCCTTCTCTTCACTGTCTTCAAGTGGTGAGTGTTCCTCGCAAAAAGTTAAAGGGCGGATGTGAACGCCTGATACTTACAACCGGATTGATGAACACGCTGATCTATTTGGGGGAACTGGAAAACCCTGATTTCACACACCTATGGTGTACACAGACCGCAGAGTCTGAAAAAGGATCAAATGGCATACGAACCTAGTTCGGTCACCGTTAATTACGGGAACGTGGTTTCTGATTCTTCTCCACTGTACTGTGGATCATACTTCAATTCAAAGGCTCGGGAAGGAGCGGCCCTTTAAAACAACCACCTGCTTCGGTATCACCATGTGAGCAGTATCCCAACCCTCGCATAAACTATGAGCTTTTGTGTGGCGCACCTCTTGGTACACACAGATGTACCAAGTTTGTGCTGTAATAGTAATAATAATAATGATAGTGCAGCAGGTCGGGTGTGAGGACAAATACTTGCCGAAGACATTGTCTAGAGGTTGCGCTATATCGTGAATTGGCAGAAGTTAGAATTCATGGGCCATTGGATCGGGTTCCAGTGGCATAATGGTATACGAGCTCGCCTTGTAACCAAAAGGTCCTGGGTTCGAACGCTGGCGATGGGTGCGTACTGAAGAAGAGTCCCAAACTAGGACGAAACACCTGTCCAGTACTCCCAGGTTTTCCAATGGTTCTCTAACTGATGTCAGCTCATGATGAAATCCTGTAAACAAATAATGATAGTGATCAGATTCCATTGTTGATCACTACCGTCAGAATAACAAAGCAGAGATTGCAAAAACAGTGAAGTGCATAACCGTTCACTCACTTTTGTGCAGTTGATAAATCCCCAGATTGTGGATGATGATGATTTGAGGCTGACGGATGACTGATATTATGAGTAATAATAGCAGGAGACATATTAGAATTTCCAGTTGGATTAACTTTCAACTGATTTTGATCAGGAAGTTGAGTACCAAATTGTTTCCAATACAAGCGTGAATCATCTAAAGCATCACATGGAGGATAGCTGACGGTTTCATTTATTTGATGCATAGTAGGATTGTCATGTGATAAAAAAGGTGTACAAGAGGATATAGTATCAGTATTCATTGGTAAACTCTGGCATTCCACAAATTCCCTAGGACAAACATCAAGTGACTGTGGTATTGCCTGATTTGATGTAGAAGGGATTGCGGGGACTGGCTCCGAAGTAGATGATTCACAAGTCCTGGTAAACTTTTCTCTATAATCATGCTCTGTGCAAAGAAAAGAGATACAGAAAACGATCAACAAACAGTAAACATAGTGAGTAAAACTCAATATGATGTATAACGACTCGAACCCACTCGAATCAAAGATGATAATATACATTAGTTGCTTTATTCACTTTATCACATAGTGAAACAGTATTACTTACTGGATGACGTTTCCAACAAAATTTATTGTTCATAATCATTCCATCAATTATAATCACACGACTTCGAAATTTGACTTTTATAGTTTTCTTTGTTCTCTCCTATTTGTCGTCGTTGGGGTAGTAGAATTTTCCAGATGTCCAACTGGACAGGTATAGAATTATTCCTACTACACATATATTAACATTCCTACTACACGTGTTTGCAGTTGATTCGATAAACAAAGCTTCATCTGTTGTCATCAATCTCTCCCTCCACCCTGTTACACGAAATATACACGTTGGATCATAGGAATTATTAAAAAGACGGTTGCAGCGAAGAAAATTTTCCTTTCAACGAAGTCATCAACTAGATAGCTGTACATCCGTGTATTTATATTAAATGTGTGTGTGTGTGTGAGAAAGTTCCAGAATTATTTTCGCTCAGGGGTCAGATTAATAAAATTACTAAGTGTGATAAACAGAAGATAGGTAGTGGTACTATATTCTAGAAATATTTCAGGTCAAAGGTCAAATTAAAATTCCAATGTGTAATAATCAGGAAGATCAGGTAGAAAAGACAAAATAGGATTTTAATTACTGGAAAACTCACCAATTTGTATAATTACGGGTTAAGGACGTAGTTTTAACGAAATGGATAGGAGGTTCGGACATATAAAGATAAAAACAGTAATCAAATCTAGTAATGAAGATAGGGATTTAAAAAAGGTAAATATGACAGAAATAAATGGGAAGGTTGGAACAAGAAAAATAATAGAATGACCATTATTGGTGAGACTGACTTTTCATGATGGCCACGGTAGGGACAACGGTTGAACGTATTTCTTTTGGAGACATAGAGTGGGATTGAGTTTCTGGATCGCCAGTGTTTCAGCTATTCCTAGATGTCTTGATCTCACTCCCTTTGGTAGGTTCGATCGGATCTTGTATATGGTTTTGAGGGACTTTTCAAATGGGGCTGAATGTCCAGAATTCACCAGATGCTCTGTCATCGAACTGCATATCCCTTTGTGTTCTCGTGCACTTTTTACAAGTGGATGCAAGATACGGCTCCACAAGAGCAAGTGAACTTGTATATGCATGTTGAAATGGCCCAATGCGACAGTTTGTCTTTCACGTGCTGGGTGAGTAGTTTCTTTCAGGAAAATGTTATTCATAGGCTGGCGGTGGAGTATGTATGAGTTCGAAAGCCGTCTACGGAGAATTCCTGATTCGGTATCACATCTAAATTCGAGGTTCAATATCTGCATCTTTCTGGGGACAACTTGGACGTTTTCAGGTGTTTTCCTTGGTTTTAGATTCTTGTCTATGAATCTGGGTGGAAATCCATTTTCAATCAAGGTCCCTCGGAGATTTTGTAATTCTTCCTCGATTAACTCTTCCGTGCAAATGTTTCGGATCCTCGAGGAAAGAGGTTTCTCTTTCTGCTTAGAGGCACACAACTTTGAAAGTTAATAAATTGTCCGTTCCATGTGGGCTTTTCGTAGATGGATCTTCTTAGCAAGTTGTCTGAATTCCTTCATAGTTGAACGTCGAGGAAATGAAACATTGAGTTAGACTCAACTTTTAGGTTAAAATCGATGTTTGGGTGGATGTTATTGAAGATTTGAAGTAGGTTTTTTAGATCACAATTCTCATCACATATAATGAAAGTATCATTGATGTATCTCTTGTAGGGATGGAGGTCGTCGATAGTTGATGATAAGGAGTTGTTTTCTAGGCTAGCTATAAAGCAGTCAGCGAGGTGGGGTTCTAGGGGAGAACCCATTGCTACTTCATCTACTTACCTGTATATTTCGTTGTTGAAACTAAAGTATACGTTGGCTAGAAGTCTTCCTATCAATGAACACAAAATGATATGCTGGGTCATCCACTCAAAAACTTGTGCAGACTCAAAATAGTTTACGAAAAATCATTGTCAAAATTGACAATAGACAACCAAAGGAAACATCCACAGTTAACATCCTTACATAAGTCTTCTACAGATGTACTCACGAAGGTAAATCGGCGGCTTACCTACAACTGGCTATTGTTTGATTTGAAGTCCACAGGTTGATTTACTCGGAAGGAAGACATGATGAAACTAAGAAAATGTGAAGCTATTATTAGATAGTTGGAGGCAATAGACAGGAAACCCAAAACCTAAGTTTCTGTTTTCGACATAGAACTTTGCACATGTGTGCAGCAGTTCAAATCGCCACACTCCCTCCTTGTAGCACACAAAGCAACAGAAGAAAGTAGAAGAAATGCATAATAGAGACAGTTAACAGAGGTGTGAGACAAACGAATAGTAATAACGGAGAACAATATAGTTTCGTTGGAAATCATAAGTCACAAGGAGTGGATGCATCTGCGCCACTGAGAACCATTCTGAGCTATATCACCAAGTGTCTGCAGCCTTCACTGGTTCTTACCATCCCGAAGACGCCAACCAACCAGGAAATCTACACCTCCCGACGTGACAGCTGGCTTAAACTAACTATTGTGGATTTGACTCAATGATAAAGGCATGTTTTAATTTTACCACCACTAGCTTTCTCTTTTCCACCCTGATCCTATGTCAGTTAACATTGCCCATGGAGGAAAGTGACGGCTTGTCATGCGTAACACATGTCCTAACCATCTCAATTAATCTAACTTCAAAACCTCGTCGATCGATTTCCCCTCCCTGCCTAACCTTAATATAGCTCACCTTATTATACCACTTCACACGGGAGATAGAACGCAGGCATCTGTGATCAAAGACAGCTAATCTTTTCATGTCTTCCCCTTTCAATGTCCAGGTTTCGTACTTGTTGCCACTCGTCAGCACGGCGCATCCACAATCTTGAAGGAACTTTCTGACTCATGGGGCTATTTGGAAAGCCACGAGTGAAATTCTGGACATATTTGGGTATTGGCTTTTCATTTTTCATATTCCCTATGATACCCCAAGATAAATTAGACTGATTTGTAATTTGATGCAGAGCAAATTCACTATGTTAACCATTTCACTTGTTTGAGAAGTTTCATCGACTCAGTAGGCTGGTTGTTGGAAATTTTCCGCAGCATGGAGTACAAAATGTCTGAATCCATACATAGCGTTGGTGAAACCCTGGACCGCGAACAAAAATGAGCAAATTATGTAGCAATATGCTTTGTGCTAACAGTAAAGCGGCAAAATAGTTGGAAATAAAAGATATGAGGATATTACAGGTTTTCTATTGTGTGTGTGTTTTTAAGTGATACTGTTAGGATACAGAGAAATTATACAACAACAATGCAGAGATCACGTCTTAAAGGCTACACAGAACTAGAAACTTGAGTCAACCAAAATTGTTGATGCTTGTGCCGCTATCACACTCATTGGGACATAGTCAATTACAGAAGACAAGGTTAAGTGAAATTCCTTTCGATATCAAATGAAGTATTTCAGATAAATCCAATGCTCATTACCCTCAAAAACAAGCAAACTAATGTATTATTTATGTTGGATCTGTTCCTTTTCGTGTCAGCCTTTCTATTTCTATGCGTCATCATACTCTGTAGTGTTACCACATGTACGAAATTAAACTAATGCAACGTCATATAGTCCTTCTAGGCGAAGACGCTGACAAAATACAGCAGAGTCTTCTGAACACCTTGAGCTGCAATCTACGAAGGTTTGGAATGCGATTCGCTCCCGCCAAATGCAAGATGATGTTACAAGACTGGACCGCACTGACTCCTAGATTAGAAATAGGGAGTAAAGTGGTAGAGCACGTTGACCGCTTCACTTATTTGGAAAGTACCATCAGCCCAAAGGGTTGATCTCCGACTAAATCACAGCACGGATACAGAGGGCTAGTTTCGCATATGCCAGTTTACGCCGTCTCTGGCGTAGACGTGATATCCGGCTGGCTATCGACCAAAGGGCGGGTGTACTGCTCATCAGTCCTCTCCGTCCTCCTTCGTGGCTGTGAGACCTGGCCATTGAGAGTGGAAGGGATGAAAATCCTGGCTAGCTGTCTTTGATCATAGGTGTCTGCATTCTATCTCCCGTGTGAAGTGGTATAATAACGTGAGCAATGTTTAGGTTTAGGCGTTGGTCGAGTACTAGGTAAGGAGGGGAAATCAATCGATGAGGCTGTGAAGTTACATCGACTGAGATGGTTAGGACATGTGTTACGTATGCCTAGTCATCGCCTTCCTCGACGGGCAATGTTAGCGGAAATAGGGTCAGGCTGGAAAAGAGCTAGCGGAGGTCAAACAAAAACATGGCTGCACCAGTCAATGAAATCCACAACAGTTGGTCTAAGCCACGTAGGAAGGTGTAGACTACCTGGTTGGGGTCCTCAGGATGTTAAAAACCAATGGTTGGAAACAATTGGTGACATGGCTCAAAATCGTTCTCAGTGGCGCAGATGCATCCACTCCCTGTGACTTATGATCTCCAATGAAACTGTTTTGTTTTTCTTTATTACTCTTTTGTCTCACACCTCTGCTCACTGTTTCTATTATGCTTTTCTTGTACTTTCTTCTCTTGCTTGCTTCGCGTGCTACACGGAGTGTGACGACTTGAACTTCCGCACATTTGTGCAAAGTTCTATGTCGAAGACAGACAGACAATGCAACCTCATGTAAAGCTTTACTTCAGCATATCCATTCGACAACGCTTCCGTGCTCCAATTCTCTGCAAGGTTTATTATAATTATATTACTATTATTTCCTTTAATTCCTAGAGGAACACAGGGCTTCAGCTGCACGTCTCCATTGCGTTCAGTTCTCTGTTAACGTTTGCACCTGGCTCCAAGTCTGTCCACATGCTTTCATCTCCTCTTCACATGACCTCCTCCAAGTCACCCTTGCATTGACGACCAACTCGCCGCTTTCCTTTTGGGTTCCACTTGAGCGATAGCTTGGCGTGTGATGTCACTTGATGGTTTCCTCAGAGTATGGCCAATTCATCTCCATTTCTTCCTGCCTATTTGTTTCTCAGTCGGTTCCTGGTTGGTTCGCTCCCAGAGTTCCCTGTTGCTGATCTTTTCTGGCCATCTGATCTTGAGTATTGAGCGAAGACAACTGTTAATGAAGGTCTGTAGTTTGTTTGAGGTGCTTTTTTATGACGCACTAAGCAAGGTTTGAGGCCAGTATAAGCGCATAAGCTTGCGACGCTACATCGATTGAGATGATTAAGACACGTGTTACGCATGCCGCACCCGTGCCTTCCTAATCCAACTATCATAACTGACATACGACTAGACTGCGAAATAGGTTAGAGGTGGTCAGACCAAAATCTGGTATCCACCTATAAAATCTTTGACATTTGGTTTGAGCCGGTCATGTAAAGAAGTGCGGGTTGCCTGGTTGAGGTCCTCAGTATCCTAAGAAGTAATGACAGGAGAATAATACTGTTGGTATATCCGAAAAACGTTCTCTCAGTGGCGCAGAGATGCATTCACTCTTCCTAATCTCCTTTATCCATTGAATCCCACTGCTTTTCCATGTTACTAATTTGCCTCCCTCACATTATCGTTGTTTTGAATCTTTTTTTTTGTTCTTTTATCATCCTTTGTGTGCTAAATGGAGTGTGGCGACTCGAAAACTGCCACACTTCTGTGCAAATTTGTTTTATGTTGATGAAGTCAGTCGGCCAACCACCTACCAACTCTAGAAAAATGCTTTATTGAGACTGTGGTGAGTGCAGGCTGCTAGCCGATTGGTTGACATTAATCTACGTCAATGTCGAGGTCACTAATATGGGCCGTGAGAAAATATGAACAAGGCTGTTTCAACAACCAATCACAGCAAACTTAAACGTGGACAAATATGATTCGCAGATAAATGGCTCTACTTTCCGAGAAATATCGAAAACAACCAATCAGAAGGCTGTGTTTGTCTGCTTAACTTCCGAGAAACAAACAATCAGAGGACTGCATTTTTCTGCTTGCATAAGCCTTATTAATGTACATAAAATATATATAAATACGTGTTGATTTTCGTAATAAAACGATCTGTTGCCAGCCCTTGTCTTCTGTTGTTACAAGACGAATCCAGTTAGCTAGAAGCTAGTGAAAAGTGAGAAATATTTGTCACTGTTAGAAACGATGATTACGAAAATAAAAATAATAAATCTTACCTGCTTTTCTCGATATTCTTGCATTTAAACGTCTACATTCATATAACTTTAAACGACAATCAGCTATCGTTTCGAATTCAGGAGCATAACATACATGTAAAAAACCTCCATAAAAAGAAGAATCATCTAATGAACGTTTGGCAAATCTAAACAGGATTTTAAGGAAAAATATCATAAAATTTTGCTGGGAAAACAAAAACTAGCTAAAGTATTAACCAACACACCACACATAAAAAGGTACGTCGGTGGCACAGAGGTAAAAAGCACGCCAACCACGCCTCATGTGGCCCAGAGTTCGACCACCGACACATTCCTACCTAAACCTCCCTAAGCCAGTAACAAGACTAATAAAGAGGGAAGTTTGGGGTAGTTGGGGCTAGCAACTCCATCCCATAAAAATAAATAAACACCAGTACTACCGAAACTTCAAGCCTCCACCTTGAAGCCTCCCTATATTCCACTAGGAACGTAAAGGAATAAATTTTTGAAAAACGCATATAAAAAGAATACATTCTCACACCTTGCGGTTTGAACACTTTTATACTTCACCAGAAAAACATCTGTAAACATATCCTTATCCGGATAATCAATAAGCTTCACTAAGCTTTCAACATTTCCATAATGTTTACACCTTTCCTTTAACGGTTGCTCCAAACCCAATGATGGGACTCCAAATAACAGGAGATAACAAGATTCATCTGCTATGGTAAACACCTAGAAAATGAAGTTAAATTAAACTGAATGAGTTACCTTAACTGCTGTCTTGCGTTTACCATCACGATAAGCAGGACGAGTATAGCATGGACCTACTTTATCGTGATATGGGAGATGCTTCAACTTGTTTTCAAAATTCAAATCCATGATTTGAACGAAGAAAAAAGATGCTTAATTCATTGTTCTACAAGAATATAATCAACAATGGAATGGAATGTATCACCAAGATACGGATCTAAACAAATAAAAAAATGTCGAATATGATAAGAAGAACTGACCCCAAATGTTTATGACCAATAGTATGAAAAACAACTGGAGTTATTTAATCGTTCATATCTAACACAATCTTTAAAATACAATGTTGTGTCCATGAGTCAAAGTTACTATTGTTAATATTCAACCCCTTCAACTAAATGAAGTGGGAGAGAACCTGTAATACACGTACAGATTCCATCAACGTTAAACAGTCTACAGGCGTGCACATTAGTTTGTCTATTAACTTAATTCCAGTTAGACCACGGATTGATATTAGTTAGAGAACGATTGAAGACTAGCTGGAAGTATTGGACAAGTGTTTCATCCCAGTTCGGGACTCATCACTGGTACGCAACCACTGTTGGAGTTCGAACCTAGGACCTTCTGTTTACAAGGCGCACTCGTATACCATTCAGCCACCTGGACCCAACCCAGTAGCTCATGAACCCTAACTCTTGCTAATTCGTGATTTTAGTGCGACTGGCACCAACCAATATCATCGGTGGGAAATCCGTCCTCACTCCCAACTGGATGCACTTCAATTGTCACTTCTTACTAGAATTCCAGGAACCTCCATCCTGTAACAACTCACCAGCGAGTATCACATCAATTTTCAAGGGTCGATTTCTAAGGATTTCATTTGAGTCGGGTCCCAGTGGTTGAATGGTACACGAGTTCGCCTTGTGACCAGAAGGTTCCGGGTCAGAAACCCAATGGGTGCGTGCTGCTGATGAGACCCTGGATTTCAATGGTTCTCTAACTGATATCTATCTGCGGTCTAACATGGAAACAAACCAAATCCTTACAAATCAACTCTCGAATATTGAATTAATTCCTGTCAAAGCACTTCGAAAGTAACTTACAGACTATAACTGGAATCCACCAATAGGAAATGCCTAACATTCGCGATTGGTAACGCCAGACAACTATTTAGGCTTATCAGGGAAACAGGTGGTAAAAAGCAAATGATACGTGAAACAATCTCTGAGAAGAATGGTACCATAATTAGCTCCCAGAATAGACGACTGGAACGCTGGAAAGAACAATATGAGGAGCAGTCCAATTGGCCTACAGCCACGCTCAACCTGCCGAACATCCAACACCTCCCTGTATAGGATATAGATACGGGTCCTCCGCCCCTAACTGAGGTTACTAAAGCTATCACTAATCTGAAACAAGGAAAAGCGGCAGGACCTGATGGGATGACTCCAGAGGTGTTTAAGTACGGTGGAGACAGTTTATTGTCTGCATTAACTGAGGTACTAGGTAGAGTCTGGGAATCGGAGGAAGTCCCGTAGGGTTGGTGTAAGTCACTGATTATCCCGATATACAAGAAGGGAGACAAGTCTTCCTGTGATAATCCCAGAGAGATTAGCTTGACTAATATAGTATCTAAAGTCCTAGGCTCAATAATCATGCGTAGACTAAGTGGTGCTCGGAAGGCACAAACACGAGAGAACCAGGTAGGCTTTAGACCAGGAAGAGGGTGTATTGACCATATCTTCGCCATCCGACAGATTCTAGAACATAGGCATTATTACCAGCGCCCAACAATCATTAGATTTCTTGACCTGAAAACAGCATTCCATTCCGTCGACCGAGGTACTCTGGCGATGCTTGACTGTAAAGGGAATGCCGAGAAAATACATTGCACTGATTAAAACACTCTACTCGAACTCATGCAGTCAGCCAGATGAGGGCTTACGGTGAGTTGTCATCTGAACTGGTGACAACTAGTGGTGTCCATCAGGGATGCCCATTATCCCCATTTCTATTGAATTTCATTATAGACGTACTAATGGACTTAACCCTAACTCACTCCAGAGACTCAGGGATTAACTTGCTACCAGGGAATAATATCGTTGATTTAAAATATACAGATGATAAAGTGATTCTAGGCGAGGACGCTGACAAAATACAGCAGAGTCTTCTGAACACCTTGAGCTGCAATCTACGAAGGTTTGGAATGCGATTCGCTCCCGCCAAATGCAAGATGATGTTACAAGACTGGACCGCACTGACTCCTAGATTAGAAATAGGGAGTAAAGTGGTAGAGCACGTTGACCGCTTCACTTATTTGGAAAGTACCATCAGCCCAAAGGGTTGATCTCCGACTAAATCACAGCACGGATACAGAGGGCTAGTTTCGCATATGCCAGTTTACGCCGTCTCTGGCGTAGACGTGATATCCGGCTGGCTATCGACCAAAGGGCGGGTGTACTGCTCATCAGTCCTCTCCGTCCTCCTTCGTGGCTGTGAGACCTGGCCATTGAGAGTGGAAGGGATGAAAATCCTGGCTAGCTGTCTTTGATCATAGGTGTCTGCATTCTATCTCCCGTGTGAAGTGGTATAATAACGTGAGCAATGTTTAGGTTTAGGCGTTGGTCGAGTACTAGGTAAGGAGGGGAAATCAATCGATGAGGCTGTGAAGTTACATCGACTGAGATGGTTAGGACATGTGTTACGTATGCCTAGTCATCGCCTTCCTCGACGGGCAATGTTAGCGGAAATAGGGTCAGGCTGGAAAAGAGCTAGCGGAGGTCAAACAAAAACATGGATGGACCAGTCAATGAAATCTACAACAGTTAGTTTAAGCTGGCCGCCATGTAGGATGGTGTAGACTACCTGGTTGGGGTCCTCAGGACGTTAAAAACCAATGGTTGGAAGCAATTGGTGACATGGCTCAAAGCGATCGTTCTCAATGGCTGGCGCAGATGCACCCACTCTTAATGACTTATGATTTCCAATGAAGCTATATTGTCCTTCGTTATCACTATTCCTTTGTCTCACACCTCTGTTTACTGTCTCTATTATGCATTTCTTCTACTTTCTTCTGTTGCTTTGTGTGCTACAAGGAGGGAGTGTGGCGATTTTAACTACCGCACATCGGTGCAAAGTTTTATGTCGAAAACAGACAAACAGACATTTGAAACACCAACTGTCAACGCTGATTCAATGAAGAGTTGGCTTCGAGACGACTCTTCACTTTACACATCGTACTTAAAAGTCATAAATAGATCATATATTCCAGAGAAAGGTTTAAGGCGGCCATTATTTAGAAATATTACAATCGTCATGAATGAAGTAATTATTTGTCAAGCTAAATTCCGAGTGGAATAAATTAATCGTAAAGCGATCAATGTGTATATTCGTACTGAAAAACACAGAAATAATTTAATTTGCCCTGGATGGTAGAAATTCACACAAAAATATAAAAAAAGACTTGTTGATAATAGTGAATCACAAAGTCGAATAATCAAAATCTTTGCATTGAGACTAACAATGATTAAAGTGTTTTTGGAATTAAGTTCAAAGTGAATACACAATTGATAACGTTTCTAACGAAACCTTATATTATAAAACTGAATTACTTCAGTTATAGTGAAATTGGTTAACTAATATACTTGTGAGCACTTTCTCCTGCGGTTAAACATACGTATTACAAAGACTGTAGGTACCGCTATATCAGACAACAAGGTCCAGATGCACTGCAAAGTTAACATAAACCTGATATTTCCCCGACAAACTTGCCAAAGCAGCTAAACTTCAAATTAAGCAAGTAGTAGCAAACGGACCAAGTTAAACTTTAAGCACCAGTAAGTGCCAGTGTAGTGCGACCGCACTGACAACCTTGAAACACTCAGTGAGCAAGTTAGTGAAACCTGGTAAATAATATTGTAATCATGAATAAAATATGCTTAATGAAATGTTATTAACAACTGTCTTCGCTCAATACTGAAAATCAGATGGCCGGAAAGAATCACCAACAAGGAATTATGGGAACAAACAAAGCAAGAACCAATCGCCCAACAAATATGCAGGAGAAAGTGGAGATGGATCGGACACTCGCTGAGGAGACCGCTGGGTGACATCGCGCGCCAAGCCCTCGAGTGGAACCCGAAAGGGAAGCGGCGTGTGGGACGTCCAAGGAAGACATGGAGGAGATCATGTGAAGAGGAGTTGAAAGAATATGGATTCACATGGATGCAGGCGAAAAGTATAGCAGAAGACAGAAGAAAATGGAGACGTGCAGTTGAAGCCCTATGTTCCACTAGGAACCCAAGGGAGCAATAATAAAATAAAATAATAAATGAAATGTTATGTTATTAGACGGGATATCTGGCAAGTTTCAGGTTAGGTTTGGGAAATGTTTGAGCAATGTCTGACTGTGAAGGGAGTGCCAAGAAAGTACATTGCACTAATCAAGGTACTCTATTCAAACTCACGTAGTCGTGTAAGGGCTTATGGGGAATTGTCATTTGAACTGATAACAACCAATGGTGTCCGGCAGGTATGTCCAATTTCCCCATTTCTGTTTAACTTCATCATAGATATGCTAATGTAAGTATCCTTAACTGGACTTAACGACTTAGGAATCGACTTGTTACCAGGGAATAGTCTTATGGACTTAGAATATGCAGATGACATAGTCCTGTGAGGGGAGGATGCTGACAAAATGCAGAGTCTTCTGAACACCTTGAGCAGCAATCTCCGTATGTTTGGCATGCGATTCGCCCCTGCAAAATGTAAGATGCTGCTACAGGACTGGACTACGTCAACTCCTAGCTTAGTGATAGGGAGTGAAGTGATAGAACATGTTGACCACTTCACCTATTTGGGAAGTTGTATCGGCACCAACGGACTGATTGGCGACGAAATCGCAGCAAGGATCCAAAAAGCTCGAGCTGCTTTCGCTGACTTACACCATCTCTGGCGTAGGTGTGACATCCGGCTATCAGCTAAGGGACGTATGTACTGCTCAGCAGTTCGCTCCGTCCTTCTCTATGGCTCTGAAACATGGCCAATACGAGTTGAAGACATGAAAAGGTTGACTGCTTTCGATCATAGATGTCTGCGATCTGTTTCTCACGCTAGGTGCTTTAATAAGGTAAGTAATGACGTTAGGCGTAGAGTGTTGGGCAAAGAGGGAAAATCAATCGACGAGGCTCTAAAGTTACATAGACTGAGATGGCTAGGTCA